ACCTGGATATCAAAAAAAAAATTAACTAAATAAGTTCCCGAGGCAATGACATAAATATAACCATTTTACACTAATTATCATTTTTCCCCTAAAAAATAAGGGTACAAACATGTTCCTAGTTATAAGTATTAGTCAAAGTTGAACGTGCTGTAAAAATAACATTTGATATCAATTTATTGAGAGAATTTAATGAGTCTCAAACAAATTAAATAAAATAAAATTTATGATAGGAATTTAAAAGAAGAAAATTATACTCCCAAAACTCAACTTCTATAATTCAATTTTTTTTACGATGATGAAATAATACAAATGAACAATATTTTTATACCACATAAGAATTAATTGTTAATACATGAATCTAAACACCCATTAAAATTTCTAAATATATGAATAGAAATAAATTCATCTCTAATAATTTTATATTGATCTAGATCAAGATTCATTGAATTTAAATTAATTAAAAATTAATAACAGGAATTATATTATGATTAAAATTATCCAAAAATTATTTTTCATTGATGTATCATTTAATATATTATAGATATGCGTTCGAGTACATGTGCATGCACCACACGTTTAAAAACGATTCATGAAGTGCCTAGTGTCTTCTTTGTACATGCAATATATTTATATTTTAAAATTGCGAAAAAACCATCTCATATAGAGGGCCAAGTGTCTTGTCCAAGTAGCAATAACAATAACTAAAAAGCAGTGGTCAAGAATATGAACCCTATTTATGGATGTGAATTTGGCACCAATCACATTTTATTTCCTCCAAAGTAAGGTAAAGGAACATGTTGGATGACATATGTACACATGCAAACGTGCATGCATATTTTTTACCGGATTAATGTTGTTTAATTTCACTGGAGTTACAACCTTAATTTAGATGTGACAATAAATAATTTCACCGATGATTTAATTTCACATTTCATTTAATCTATCATTGCTCCTTTTACCATTACCTAAAGTGTTAAGCGTCTTCTTTCGATAGGTTAGAATTTTATTCAAATTGTGAAGTTGTCTTATAAAGGAGGCCAAGTGTCCTTCTAGAGTAGGGATTGCAATAATTATACAACCAAGAAGGGGCCAAAAACTAAAAAGCACACTCAATAATATGAACCCTATTTTCTTGAAGTGAGCACATCAACTTGCCAAAGCCAAAACTTTAGAACACACAATAGGAAAGGAAAAAAAGTACCATGAGATGTTTTAGTTGTCTCATTCATTTTTTTTCATTCTTATCCTCAACCACTTTTTGTATTGATCCACCAATGAATTCTCACATATTTTTTCTTTTAATATTTTTTCTTTTATATTCTTTTGATTTTGATTTCAGTATTTGTCTTAAAATAATTTATACAATTTTTGCCAAGCAATTTATGTGGGGATTTTTTTTTCTTTATTTTTTTGAAAAAAAAAAAGAGGAAAATCATTTTGAAGAGTTTAAATGAAAAATGATATTATCTTGAAATTTGTGATTTCTTTTTCTTAATAAAACTCAGAATTTTAGGAATACTTCGATTAAAACTGCTTGCTTGACATTAGTTGGAATGACTTGAATCCATGCACGTGTACTTTTTATTATTCCTCTTTGACTGATTCACTCTTATCCATGTTCTTCATTATTTTGTTGTGTGTGTGTGTATATTATCGTCGATGATTAACATGAGATGAATATCGATACTCATTATATAATATGTAGTGCGTATGTATGTGTGCGCGCGATACTTTTAAAATTTTCGTATTGTAAATATTAAACACAATTGAATAATTAACTATATAAAAAGCAAGAATTATGCTACTTGTACATTTCCTAGTGACATTTTTGGTGACATTTTGTGTGTTGTCAAAATTCGTATCATTGATTATTTTAAGTGTTATAAAAATGAAGGGCAAAAATATTGATCACCTCACACAATGTCAATCAAACTGTCAATCAGACGGTATTTGTAGCAAAAACTAAGAAAGAAATCTAGTATCTAGTTTAATCAATTTAATAAAAATTTCAAGAATTTTAAAAATGAAGTTGAATCGAACAATATAAGCCCATGTTTGTCTACTATTAATCTAAAACATTGTTTGCTACAGTAAAATTCTCTACCACTCATTCTCTAAAAAATACTATTCATTACACCATTTTCAACCCAATAATGGTAGACAAACAGGCTCTAATTATAATCTATAATTCAAGCACCACAACCAATCAAATATTCTATAAAGATAGTGCGATAATTTTTATTTATTTATTTAGCCCCTGTTTGTCTACCATTTTTCAAAACATTATTTTNTTCATTGTGATTGACATTGTAAGGTTTAGGTTACAAGAGTTAATATTACATGGTGGATGTTAGCCCCTGTTTGTCATTATTTCAAAAAATTGTTTGTTACAGTAAGATTCTCCACCACACATTCACATAATAAAATATTCTACACATAAACCGATAAAGTTTCTTTCAATTTTAACCACACATTCTCCAAAAAATATTATTCATTACACCATTTTCATCACAATAATGGCAGACAAACAGACACTTATTTATTCACTAGAGGGGATCAAATGATTTCACCGCTCCCTGAAAGGAGGTTTGAACTCAGGCCATCAACCTAGTAAGACTTCGTTCTTACCATTTAAGCTAATATTACTTCAATTTCACAAACTAATCCTTATTGGCGAATCCTTGACTCACCAAAATATAAAAGAATATTGTTTCTATTGATCTCAATATTTATAGAAAGTTCAATCAATATATTTGAACTCATAGTCATGTTTTGAAAATCAATGAGATTGGTTATTAGTTTTTACTAGTGAAAAAAATGGGAGACAACATCGATTTGATTATAAGATAAGTTGCCATATTTTTAAAAATTAAGGACAAAATTTGATTTGAGTGATTTAATTTCTTTCCACTAAATACATAAAAAACTCTTACGTAGACTTGAAAAGTTTACTTATAAGTAAAAAAATGTAAGTTTTAAAATAATATTTTTCATCGTATCGATAACTTTTCCTTCATTTTCAACCACACATTCTCCATCAATCTACTATTTCAAAATACATTCTTTCAAAATAATGTGGCTCAAACACACCAAATTGTACTTTTTATAGACTTAGCCACTCATGGTCTTAAATCAAGGTTATAATTAATTCCATTCAATTTCTACAGCCTGTTTGGTAGTGATTTGATGAAGAATGAATGATTAAAAAATAAGAAAATTTTTTAAATTTACGTGTAATATTATCTTATTGAAGAATATATAATCGATAATAAGAGAGAGAAAATTATTTTAAAAATAATAGTGGCCAAACAATAGCTAAACGAAGGAGCAATAATCAAGGAGATAACTTTGTTAAAAACAAAGGCCCGAGATTACGGGGGTTAGTTCATAGAATTAAGTCTTATTGGTTCGTGCACACTCTACTGTTACACACACACAAACACGCACATTTCTTGATAAACTTGCAAGTGAAGGTCAATTCGATACAACGCTCTCTCTCTCTCTCTCTCAAGATTCTGTCCTCTCTCTGCATAAGCAAGAAATAACCTGGGGTTTTTCTTTTCAATTTCTGTGATTTTTCAAAGTATAGGTTTTTGATGGTTTTTTGAAGAAAAATGGAGGCACAGTTCATAAGTAGACACCACAAGCACCAGCCTAAAGGGAACCAGTGTTCTTCTTCTGTTGTCAAGCACATCAAAGCCCCGGTTGATATTGTAATCTTACCTCACTTTGTATATATACGTGTGTGCATTTAATCAGTTGTTTTCGTGTATCGTTAATTAAAGAGTGTTTAATTATGGATTTCGTATGGGTTTTATGATCTTTTTGTGAATTTGGGTTTTCTTGTTTCTTATTTACTTTTGAACTTTCCTCGATGATGATGAAAATGTGAAGAAAGAAATTAAGGATGTGATCCTTTACAGTTCTTTCATTTTTTCTTCGAAAAATGAGGATTTTCTATTTCTTGGGATTGATTTGGTAATCTTGTAGCTGATGTGAAAATCAATTTTGATCTGCAATCTCTAGCTTGAATTTGAATTTTAAAGGTTAAAGTTTAGTGAATTGCTTCATCTTTATTGCTTCTCTTGAGTTTGTGTGAAGGAACAGAAAGTTTTGAAAATATCATTGTCTGGTGATATATTTATTTTCAGGTTCTGCTTTCTTTATTTTTTCTATATTGATAAAATTGCTTAAAAATCAAAGGTCTGGTTGCTGAGTTTTGAGGAAGAGATTAACAACTTATTTTGCTGATGTTCTTTCTGATAATTTTTTTATATGAAACTCTTGTAAATTTAGATAAGGAAAAATGAGGACCTGAATCTTTTATGAACTTCAAAAAATTTAAAATTGGTATTGCTTCTTCCATCTTTTGTGGTTTACTTTTACAGTGTAATATGTGTGTTGGAAGGTGAGGAGCCTAATCATCTCTATTGCAGATTTTTTCTATAATAGTGCATTCATACGTGTTGGGTCGTCCTAATAGTCCTACATTTGTGGGGACAGTTTTGGATTGCTATAGAGGCATAAAGAAAAACTTGTATTCTTCTTCTATGAAAAACTGCAACGGGCGTAGTTCTTACATTTAGTGTGAACTGCCAAATCTATGTGTGATTTTCTTTTTTTTTTATTGTTTTTCTGAATACTATATCTATTGGAAGTAGGACTTAAGGTTTAATCTATGACAATCCAAGGTCTGACGTGTTAGCTCTTCTAGGTTTGGCGGTTGGTTAGGGGATTTGATCAACCACAGAAGTACAAGCCCTTTATTAGCAGGTGCTCCACTCAGGGTGATCTAAAGATTGGAAGTGTCCGAGAAGTGAACGTAAAATCAGGACTTCCTGCCACGACCAGCACTGAGAGGCTGGAACTGCTCGATGACAACGAGCACATTCTCGGGATTAAAATTGTTGGTGGTGATCACAGGCTAAAGGTAGGGATTTTTAGCCATTCTCATGCAGTATACTTTTGTTCTTGAGGTAATATTTACATTTAAGAATCAGCGATTTCTGACTCGATTACTTTTGGTACTTTTAGTGACTAAATAACACAAGAAATTGGAAGACTAATTTGTTAATGGCCTTACATTATTATAACTTGAATATCAGCAGTTATATTAATTTCTGGTGGCTCTTAATCTAAAATCATTCTTTTATAGTTTTGATACTGTGTCGTATAATTTACAGGTCTTGATTGGTTTTGAACAAATTAAAAGAAGTTATTACTTGGCATTTTTATCCTCTTTCCTTTTTTTTATTTATTTTTCTATTTTTTCGTTTTCTCTAGGAAATCCTTTCTTTAGTATCAGTTAGAAAAGGAACTAATTTGGGATTTCAATCCTCTTTGGATTTATTTCCCTTATCCCTTGTGTTTTCTTTATCTTGCCATTTCCATGACTCAGCTAGAGCTTAAATAACTATGGATTTTTTATAGGAACTCTTCAAGTGGCTAAACATGTTTGAATATCCTACCTTTTAAGTGAAAAATAGTTACTTTTCCGAAAGTACATTACCTTAGGGTGTGCTTGAGCCATATTATTGCGGAAGAATGTATTTTGGAATAGTAGATTGATGGAGAATGTGTGGTTGAAAAGGAAGGAAAAGTTATTGATGTGATGAAAAATATTATTTTATTGAAGAATGTGCTGTTGAAAATGAGTAGAAGAATGAGAATANAAGAATGTATTTTGGAATAGTAAATTGATGGAGAATGTGTGGTCGAAAAAGAAAGAAAAGTTATTGATGTGATGAAAAATATTATTTTATTGAAGAATGTGTGGTTGAAAATGAGTAGAAGAATGAGAATAAGAATTTTAATGTGATTCAAACAGTGGCTTATTGTAAAAAAAGGTAATATTTCAATTTATATGAGAATAGATTTTTTAGCTCGTCTTTCCTTGCAGATAACTTCTATCACTTAAACCATGCATTTATACTGATGAATTTGCAGAATTACTCTTCAATCATTACTGTTCATCCTGAGATAATTGATGGGAAACACGGAACCTTAGTTATTGAATCCTTTGTGGTGGACGTGCCTGAAGGAAACACTAAAGAAGAGACATGCTACTTTGTGAATGCTCTGATCAACTGCAACCTGAAGTCTTTGGCCGATGTTTCACAGCGAATGGCAATGCAGGATTCAATTAAACCCGTCAATCGATTCTGAACACGCACCAACGGTTGGATTAATAGTCTTTTGGATTAAGCAAACCTTCTACTCTAGCCTCATACTCCCTTGGAACTTAAATAGTCTGTTTTCATTGTGTATTATATATTAGCTTCTCGATATATGGAGAGTGAGATTGTGTATTAATATCCATAACTAGTTCCATGTTAAAGAAAAGTGCCAGATTTCACTGCTTGGTTTCAAGTGTGTAGGCACTGTATCTTGTTTACGAGAATTGTTAGTAAGTGATATAGACGTCTTGTATATTTTCTCTTGGTGTTGATGCTTATATATATTACCATGTTTCTATACATTACCTATCCCGTTTGCCTACAAGTTGCTTCTAACTTGGCTGTAAGTTCTGTTTTTTGTAATTGTTTATTCCTGCTATGAGCAAAAAGGTGAGTGTAAAGATCACGTTATGATACAACTTGACAGTGTTGATAGGGAACGAGGAGGCGAATAGTGTTAACAGAGCAGAAAAGCTTGAATAGTTCCATCTTCATACAAAAATGTTGAATTTCTACTATTGAAGATTCATACAAAAATGTTAAATCAACTGAGTCTTGTGGTAATCTATAACATCTGGATTCTTGTCGAGTTTTGAATTTTCGACCATATAAACTCTGAATCTGAAATCACAAGCGTGAGAAGATTTTGGGTTTTGTTGAGAAAAAGACGTCCAAATGCTGAAGTTACAAACGAAGAGATGGCGAGTTCTTGCAGCAATCAAGACTGTCATAGCGAAACTATTTCTGCTGGCTATCCTGCAAGGGTTTCCCAACATTCACCGTTTTTACACCCTCTACATCCATCATATTTTTCGGGATGATCTTCATCATCCTATCTATTTGAAACTAGATATACAGGTTCAACAGCAAGAAATTATGTAGCGTTATATGGTTATAGGCATGGATTCATTGTAGTCCAACAAGAACATCCCAGAATTTAGCATCAGATTCCATTGGCATTATGTTAAGCGAAATATCGTGTTTCTTTGTAGGGACGATGCCATAATCTGTCTTCTGCTATCAAAATATACGAAGCCTTCATTAATTGGACCCTCAAATCATTAATCTACTTTCTTCAGCAGGATAAATCTCAAGCTGAAACGTATAAGCACTTGTTAATTTGATGATATCCTCAGATTCCTGGGTAGACTACAGAGAGCCCATCAATCAGCTAGCCTTCCCTGCTTTACAAATTCTAAAATGCTACAAAATTCACCACTGTAGAAAAATACAAGTTCTTGCATGATTCTAGCAAGCAGAGATCCAGTCTGAAAATTGTATAAATAAACAAGAACACTATTTTGTATAGACGAGAAATGCATCACAATACACCTAGCAAACAAGCTAAAACACGTACTACTTCTGTTCCTATTACCGGGTATTATATTGAACCCACAATGTCCAACACAAATCGACAATGAAGATTTTCTGAGGAATACAGGAGCTGTGAGCAAGAAAACCCGTCCGTTCTTCACATATTACAATCTCTTGAAAATCCAATAATATAAACTGTAAATTATGGCGAATTAATTCCCCTCGTGTTTTAACTTTTGATAACAAATTAAATCTCTACATATTCACCAGCGTTCTCTTGGCCTGCCATCGGGAAACACAGGATCAAGAACCTTCTCATTGCTTGTATTTGAGCCATTCACTTGTTTCTCTGGTTTGCTCAATTCTAAATCCACAGTCGCATCATCATCGCTGAAGTCTGGGGGCATATCATCTTCTTCATCGCTCCAATCGTCGTCGTAATCTTCTTCATCATCGTCAAATCCATCGCTTCCTAAATTATCAATGTCTGACCAATCATCTTCATCGTCTTCACCAGTTCTGTCATCTGCCTCCGTGTCTGCTGCGGCATCTGAATCAGTATTTGGAACATTTCTCCTCGGGAACCGTGGAACATTAACAAGTGCACGGAGCTTCTCCTTAATAAGCAACAACTTGTCCTTTTCTATCAATTGAGAATCACGATATGCTTCACGGAGGAAAACAGAATCCCTATCCCCTTTCAGAGAAACATAAAACATATCCGGATGCCTTATCAACATCCCCCTAAGCTGTTGAGAAAATCTGAATTCCTCTCGAAAATGGGTTAAATGATCAACAAGTGTTCTCTTCTCGACAGTGAGGCTCAAGATCTCGTGAACAACACCGCAAGCATGCTTTTCTTTCTCCAGAGTACCAGACCTCAATTCTGAAAAATCAGAGTACGGTGATATATAAGGCATATCTCTAAATTGAGAAATCCTTCTCATCTCGCCTTTCGAAAGATTAAGCCCCTTTGGTAGCTTCACTCTATTGAACCTGGGGGGCCGATCAATAATCAAATCTCTATCATCCATCTCTCTTTCCTTATTCTCTTCTTCTTGAAGCTCTGAAGCAGAGACAGCAAGCTCAGGGTCCCAATGAGTCAACTCCAAAGCTGGCCCTCGTTCAGTCACAACAACCTTGAAATACTGTGGGTATCGGTGACAAATAGTGTCACGAAACTCCAATGGAAGTCCAAGATCAGTCTTCAAATGGGCAATCTTCTCCAAAAGAATCCGTTTCTCAATTGACATCATCAACAATTTCCTTAGCTTAATAACCAACAAATCCTCCATTTCATTCCTAACCTTCAATTCCTCGAGATAAAGCCTCTCAGCTTCTGGAGTTAACTTAAACCGAAGCGAATATACCCCTTCTTCCACAATTTCAAACACAGAGGGAAATTTCCTCAACAAAGCAATAAATCGCCTCTTTTTCTGCAGGCCCAACGCTTTTCTCCACCTACCCAAATCGCGAAGGGCCATAATCCTATTCGGCTGGCTCACTAAAATCTTCCTGATTTTTAAAGCCAACCTGAGCTTCTTATCCTTTTGAATTACATTATCAAAAGGAAGCTCTTTCCTCCTCTTAACAGCACCCGCACTTATTATAGGAACACACAGATGGGTTCTCCTCAAATTCCCCAAAGATACGTTGTTTTGCTCAAAAACCAACCTTTGACCCAAAAATGATGACTTTACAGAGGAAGCTGAACTAGGGTTCTCCAAGAAAAACTTGTCTTTTCGAAGTAAAGGTGATTTATATGAGAGAAAAAACGGTAAAGGGCCAATTGATGGCAAATTTGTATGCGAAGAAATCAGGAATTTAGGTTCCATAATAATCAGAGTTCTTATGAGGAATCACTGGAGAAATGAATAATGTAATACAACAAAGCCGACATTACAGAGCATGATATCTAATACATCTTTATAAGAATGACTGACCTGAAGTGCTAATTCTAGGGTTCATCGGCTAAAACCCTGTACAGATATTTTATTCCTTATCTCCTTCCTGTGTAGATTTGGGAATTGAGAATTGTACAAAAAGAAAAAAAAAGGAAAAGGCAGAAGCACGACTTTAGTGAATGGATAGGTTTCTTTTATTCTACTTGAGAGATGGAGAGAGAAGAAAATAGTTACACAATCCAACCATGTTGGAAATAAGAAATTGGCTTATAAGTAACTTGTAGCCTCCGTTTGTTTTTCATTTTTCGTTCATAAAAATAAAAAATATGACTGTTNAAAACAGCAAAGAGAACGGCACCTTAACTTTTACGAGTCAAAATTTTCTTATACATTCTACTCCCTCTATATCATAAAGATATATTTGCTTTTATTTTCATACAGATTTAAAAAAATGAAACTAATATAACCCTAGTTTGGACTTTATTTTATCCAAAATGCATTTTTTTCTATTTCCTCTTTTTAATTACATATTCTCCGATAAAATAATATTATATGTAATTTCAAAATTTTTCCTTCTTTTTTAACTATAATACATTTTGCAAAAAATAACTATTTCAAAATATATTTTTCCTAAAAATATATTTTAATGGAGCCCAAACAAAAGCACAATTCTTGGCACAAATTGAATTATGTGAGTGTTTGGCACCCATTCTTTTAAAGAATGAGTTTTGAATAGTAATTGATGTAAAGAATGTGTGGTTAAAAAGTAAGAAAAATTTTTGGGTTTATGTGTGATATTATTTTATTGGAGAATGTGCGGTTAGAAATGAGTACTGTAGAAAAATGAGAATGAGAATGAGATAAAAAATGGGTGTCAAACGGGGGCCTAGTATATAATATTAAAAATATCATAAACAAGTAACAAATTTGTCTTTTTAGCTCACGATCTAAATAGTCAAAATAAATTAATAGCAAAGGATGGCGAAAATTGCACGAATATAGTATGGCCTAACTCAATCGCCCAATTTAGAAGCATTGATTCTCCCTCCTCTTCCCCTTCTCCTTTCCCTTTCCCCACCATTACCATTTGCAATAACGAAATTTTGTTGATTGAATGAGTAGCGAGTTGTCAAAGAAATACAAAATAAGTTAAAGTTGTCAAGTCAAAGGAAATGACTAATTGTATTAATGTTAAGTCCCTGTTTGGTGGCTATTTTTTTGAAAAAATATTGTTTTAAATATTGATTTTTTAAAGAAAGTCCGGTTAAAATATGAAATAATTTTGAATTCACGTATAAAATATTTTATCATGTGAATGTATGATTGAAAATGAATATGTAGAAAAAAAAAGTTTTAAAAGAATGAAAAACAAACAGTAGTAAATAACTTTAGTTTTGTGATTAAAGATTAATTTTAAAATTCTTTTTTAATCTCACATTATTACAACACATAAATTCAATTTTTTTTTTAACTATGCATTGTCTCATTCTTCAAAAAATTACTATTTCAAAATTATTTTTTTTTTCAATTTTTTTTAATGGACATCAAACATTTCCCTGCTTTAACCATTAGAGCAAAGCTACAGTTATAGAAATTTTATTTCTGTAAAAATACTAGAATAGACACATGGGAGTGGACCCCATTTTTTATAATAATATTTTATTCACACGAGGTCCATACCATGTGAGTAATCTGTCATTTTAACATAAAGAATAATTATGTATAAATGAAATTTTCCTAACCGTTAATGGACGTCAGCCCATTAGCTGAGAACAACTTCTTTTCCACTGTTACCTTGATATGCCATCAGTTAGGTTTCCGTTTTAGACAGGAACCGAAATAATATAAAGATTATGTAGCTTACGTGCATGAATGTAACTTCTTATTTATTTTAGTTTATAACTTTTAAAGTTATCTTTTTTTAATAATTATTAATTTCTATTAATGGCCAAGCATTGACTGGGATAGAAGTATTATTTTTAACTATAATTATTTCGTTTCAATAAACAGTGTATGAAACATTCACACACAATACCCTTGACCCTTTAAATAAAATGAGCATTTTTGTAAGAAGTAAAACAAAAAGAGTTGTTTGCTCAATGTGAACTTAGAGCATTTTCAACGGTAATGTAAAATTGGGATTGATATTTTCAAAATCACTTTTTGCATCCTTATTTACGTCTCGATGAATCTAAATCCACATTCTGCTTCGATTAAAAGATATAAATTCACTTTTTATCCTGAATATACATCTTTTTTACAATTTGTCGATTTGTATTTCTTTTCATCTTCATTGAAGAGGTTTTCGATCACTTTAAATATTTAAATCATAATTTAGATCTATTTTACACACCATTGGAGATGCTCAGTGTAACTTTTTTAGTGCTAATAGATTAAAAAAGATTCACTTATCGTGTGCGCGATAAATACTGAGCAGTCAACTGCTAAACCAATTAGGTTACTTCAACATCACCTGCTTAACCAATTAGTTAACGTCAAAATCTAGAAATCGATTTTGAAAATTTTAAGATTACTTGATTTTGATAATGTTGAAAAATGAAAATGGTCCACTTATTAGACAATGACACAACTGTTTCGCACGGGTAGTCGCTAACAATGAAAAAGAATTCAGACGATTGTGTAAGGGACAAACCTTTTGAGATAAAGTCCCAAAAATGGGTACTTTATTGATGAGAGTTACAATTGGAAATAAACAGAATGCCTCCAAAGGGCGCAAGCACACGAGTACTGAAAAATTGATAATTAAAGTTAATCTAAGAAATTGAAATTACATATTCTCTGTTTGAGAGTATTTGATTCGGGGTCCTTTCTCTATATTTTCTCTTCTTTTTTATATTCCCATGTTGATTTCTTCGTGACAAACCGCTTGAAAACTGCTTGATTGCTTTATAACTACCAACTTTCTTCGTGATGGCTAAATTATCGTGGAACTGCCATCTCTAACTTATGCCATTACTCTTTTTCGTTCAACCGCCTTCAAATGGACTCCTTGAATCGTGGAATGTGATAAGTCTGTTCGATAACTGATTCAACAACCGCTATTCTAGATAACCATAATATCTCGTGTGTTAAGATTCTGGGCGACTCGAAGGTTTGGGCGAGAGTGAGGTCATCGCTCTGTGCGACCATAAGGCACTCCATTTGCTTAGATTCTAGACGTCTTACAAGCTTGGGCGATAATGTCACTGTGTTCGAGGGCTTCCTCTGCATTCACCGATAATCTTATTTGGGCCTTTATTCTGGACTCCCCAATTGGGTTTCACTCTTTGGGATATTTAATTTGGACTGCACTTTTAGTTTGTCAATAATTACCCCCCAATATGGCAGATTTAATACCCAGTATTAATCTATGTCATGTTCACCTTGTATTTTCTAGACAATATTTGAAATTCCCGAGAATTTCAATCATTATTTCCTTCTATAACTTAAAAATGTGCAACTTTACAAATCCTTATAAACCCAAAAGACACGCCATTTTATCGCACCACTAAACCACGTCTCTATATTTCGCGCTTCTTCCTCACTATTTTACTGTTCATCTTCTTGCTTCTCTACTACGTTTCTTAGGCAAACCTTAACAAGACTGTATTTTACACTCAATGGCGACTTCACAAACTCAATCTGATGACGCTTTCAGTTTTAAAGATTTTCGAAAAATCCTTACTAGGTCGTATGTAAATCCAAACTTCGTTGCACAAGCCAATACTGACCTCAATGAATTCTATTTGGGTCCATCATTCAATAATGCAGAAGTCGTTGAAAAAGTGGTAGTGGGCAAGTTGTTCCCTTGCACTGAATACCCTCCATTTCTGAACTCCCTGCCATTGAAACCAATCCGCGATAAAGGTATCCGTACTTGGTCAAAAACTTATCCTAATTTTTGTAGATGGCATGCACGT